AGATAGATAAGGAAAACAAGAAGGGCTAAATGGAGGGGAGAGTGAGGGGGAAAGAGAGGGAGACGATGAGGGAGAAAGATAGAGAAAGAGAGAGGGAGTGGAGGAGAGGGAAGAGAGAGAGGGATAGAGAGAGATGGAGATAGGGAGAGGGAGAGAATGATGGAGAGAGGAATAAAGAGAGGGAAAGAAAAGGGGAGAAAGGGGTAGATAAGAGATAGGGAGAGGGACTGAGAGAGGTTGAGAGTGGGAGAGATAAAGAGAGTATGGGAGAGAAAGGGAGAGAGATTGAGAGATGGAGAGATAGAAGGAGAGAGAGAGGTAGATAGAGTATGTGAGAGAGGTAGAGAGAAATACAGAGGTAGAGAGGGAAAGAAAAAGAGAGGGAGAGAGGGGAGATAGATAGAAAGGGAGAGGGAAAGAGCGGGTCGGGGAGAGAGAGAAGAGCGAGAGAGGGTGAGAGAAAAAAGAGAGGGAGAGAGTAAAACGGAGAGAGGGAGAGACGGAGTTAGGTGAGGAAAAGAGGGTGGGGGAGAAGTAGGAGAGAGATAGAGAGAAAGAAGTAGAGAGAAAAGGTAGAGAAAGGGAGAGAGAGAGGTATGAAGATGGAGAGAGGGTAAGGGATGAGTAGATAGAAGGGAAGAGAGAGGGAGAGAGAGAGATAGGGAGATTGAGAGGGAGAGAAGGGGGGAGAGGAGGGGTGAGAGAGATCGAAAGAGATTGAGGAAAAAGGAGAAAGGGAGTGGGAGAGGAGAGGAGGGAGAGGAGACGAAGAGAAAGAGAGAGGAAGAGAGGAAGAGAGAGAAGGAGTGAGAGAGAGGAGAGAAATAGAGAGGGCAAGGAGATAGAGAAATAGAGAGAGTAAGAGAGAGAGAGGGGGAAAGTGATGGGGAAGAAAGGGAGAATCATTAAGGGAGAGAGATTGGGAGATAGGGAGAGTGAGAGGAGGGATAGAGGAGGGAGAGAGAGAGATTGGGAGAATGGGAGAGTGAGAGGAGGGATAGAGTGGATAGAGGAAGGAAGAGGAGGGAGAGAGGGGGAGTAAAAGAGGAAAAGAGGTTAAAAGGGGGAGAGAGGAAGGGAGAGGGAGAGGGAGAGGGAGAGGGAGAGAGAGGGAGAGAGGGTGGGAGAAATAAAGAGAGAAGGAGGGAGAGGGATGGAGCGAGCGAGTGAGTGAGAAAGAGGGAAAAGGGAGGAGAGAAGGAAGGTAAGAGAGGGAGAAAGAGAGTGAGTTAGGGAGAGAGAAAGATTGAGAGGAAGAGGAAGAGGGATAGAGGGGGAGAGATAAGCGAAGGATAGAGAAATAGGGGAAGGGCAAAAGAGAGAGAAGTGGAAGGGTAAGAGGGAGAGAAAGAGGTAAAGAGAAATAGAGTGCATAAGTATGAGATAGAGTGGGAAAGAGAGAGGGGAGAGAGAGGAAAACAGAGGGGAGAGAGATGAGAGATATAGGGAGAGAGTGAGAGAGAGGGAGAGAGAGAGGGAAAGAGAGGGATGAAGAGAGAGATGAGAGAGAAAGACAGAGGGAGAGAGATGGGTAGAAAAAGATAAGAGATATAGGGAGAGAAAGGGAGAGAGGAAGAGGGAGATGGAGAGAGAGTAAGGAAGGGAAGGAGGGAAGGAGGAAGGGAGGGAGAGAGAGGAAGAGTGATGGAGTGAGAGAGTGGATGGAAGAGAGAGGAAGGAAGGGAGAGAGGGAGAGAAGGGGACTGAGGGGAGAGAGGAAGAGGAAGAAAGAGAGGAAGGTAGAATGGGAGAGGAAAGGAGAGAAAGGGAGAGATAGAGGGAGAGTGGGATAGGGATAGAGAGAGGGAGAGATAGAGTGAGAGAGGAAGGGAGAGAGTGAGATATAAAGGGAGAGAGGGGGAGAAAGTGGGAGGAAGATAAAGTGAGGGAGAGGGAGGGAGAGAGAGGGAGAGAGAGAGTGAGTGACGGAGAGTGAGGGAGAGAGAAGGAGGAAGAGATGAAGGGAGAGGGAGAGAGAGTGGTAGGAAAAGATGGATAAGGAAATTGAGAAAGAAAGAGAGGGTGAGAGAGAGATGGATAGAGAGAGAGGGAAAGAGAGATTGATAGGGAGAGAGAGAGAGGTAGAAAGAGGGAGAATGGGAGAGAGAGTAAGAGAAAGGGAGAGAGAAAGGGAGGTAAAGGGAATGAGAGAGAGAGAAAGAAAAAGGAAGAGAAGGATAGAGATAGAGGGGGATAGAGAGGGAAAGAGAGGGAGATAGAGGGAAAGGGGGATAGAGAAAGAGGGAGATAGGGAGGAAGGGAGAGGGAGGGAGCATGGGAGGGACGAGAGATGAAAGTGAGAGGGGAGAGAGGGAGGGAGCATGGGAGGGGAGAGATGAAAGTGAGAGGGGAGAGAGGGAGGGAGATAGTGAGAGGGAGGGAGAGTGGAAGATTAGGGGAGAAAGGGCGAGAGGAGGATGGAGAGGGAAAAAGAGAGGGTGAGAGAGAAAGAGGGAAGGATAAAAGGCAAGAGAGATAGAGTGAGGGGGAAGGAAGACAAAGCAGGAGAGAGGAAAAAGGGAGAAAGAGGGGGAGAAAGAGGGGGAGAAAGGGGAGAGAAAAGGGAGAGTGGGAAGGAGAGAGGGAGAGGGAGAGGGAAGGGAGGGAGGGAGAGAAGAGGAAGAATGAAGAGAGAGATAGAGAGACAAAGAGAGAGGGAGATGGAGAGAGGAGGAGAAGGTCGGAGAGGGGGAGAGAAAGGAAAGAGAAAGAGGGAGAGAGGGAAAGAGATGGGGAGAGGTAAGGGGAGGGAGAAAAGGAGAGAGAGGGAGAGGAGATAGGAGGAGAGGGAAAAAGAGGGAAAATGAGAGATTGAGAGAGATGGAAAGGGAGTACGAGAGATAGAGGGGGAAAGAGAGGGATACATGGAGAGACATGGAGGGAGATAGAGACAAAGGGAGGGAGATGGAGAAAGATGAAGAGAGAGTAAGAGGGAGTGAGAGAGCGAGAGAGGGTATGAGGGAGAGAAAGAGAGAGAGAGAGAGAGAGTGTGTGTGAGAGAAAGAAAAAGGATAGAGAGGGAGAGAGTAGGAGGGAGGGAGAAAAGGAGAGAAAGCGAGAAAGGAGTGAAGAAAATAATATTTGGGAAAATAATTTTAGTATATTAATTACATAACTACATATATATATATATATATATATAGTCCTAAGATAGGAAAGAATTCCTAAAGAATAGGAAAATAAAATAGGATCCCTACAGAGTAGGAAAGAATATACAAAATATTTCCTATCTAATTATATCCCGATATTTCCTACACTCCCCTCAAGTTGGTGAATATAGGTCTTCCATTCCCGACTTGCATATATTTTCCTGAAATGCATGACTCGTTTAATCCTTTTGTTAGAACATCTCGCTAACCGAAGATCCGTAGGAACATATGGAGTGCAAGTTAATCCATTGTCGAGCTTTTCCGTAATAAAATGTCTTTCCACCTCTACGTGTTTATTTCGGTCATGCTACATCTGGATTGTGCACTATATCGAAGGCAGCATTTATTATCATAGTAGAGCTTCATTGGACCACACCATTCAACTTTCATATCTTCTAAGATGATTTTCACCTACAATAGTTCATATATACCTACCGCCATTGCTCTAAATTCAGCCTTTGCACTTGATCATGCAACCACATCCTATTTTTTACTCCTCCAAGATATCAAGTTTCCTCCAACAAAAGTACAATATCCCGTAGTCGATCTTCCGTCAACTCGGAGAACTCCGCAAAGGCAGACATCCGTGTAAATTGGTAGATCAATATTCTATTTTTTCTTAAATAGAATTCCTTTGCTCGGGTGAGCTTTCAAATAACGAAGAACTCGTAAATAGCTTGTAGATGAATTTCTCTTGGATCATGCATAAACCGACTAATAACACTCACGGAATAGGCTATGTCCGATCTAGTATAAGCAAGATAGATGAGTTTTCCTACGAGACATTGATACCTTTCCTTCTCCACCTTCTTACCACCTAAAGCTTCTCCTAATCGATGATTTTGTTCGGTTGGAGTTGTCTGCAGGTTTGCTTGCCGTCACCTTAGTTTCCATGAGTAAATCGGTAACATATTTTTGTCGTGAGATGAATATTCCTTACTTAGATCGAGCCACCTCTATGCCAAGAAAATATTTCAATCTCCCAAGGTCTTTAATTTCAAACTCTTGGTTCAAATATCGCTTCAACACTCCTTTCTCTGTTTCATCATTCCCGGTTACAATGATATCATCAACGTAGACAATCGAATTATGACTCCCCGAAGCAGTGTGTTTGATAAATAAAGTGTGGACTCCTTGGCTTTGTTTATATCCATTCGCAAGCATCACATGAGTAAATCAACCAAACCAAGCACGGGCGATTGCTTGAGGCCATACAATGCCTTCGTGAGTTTACAAACTTGATTCCCATCATCGCCACTAAAACCGGGTGGAATGCTCATGTAAATATCTTCCTCCAAGTTACCATATAAAAATGCATTCTTCACATCATATTGCTATAACTCCCAATCAAAGTGGACCGCCAATGACAACAAAATTTGCACTCGTATTCATCTTTGCTACTCGGAGCAAACGTCTCTTGATAATCGACCCCATATGTTTGAGTATAACCCTTGGTAATCGGCCTAGCCTTGTATCATTCTAAAGACCCATCCACCTTAAGTTTCACTCGTAAACACCCACTTACAACTGATCTGTTTTCTTCCCTCGAGGCAACAAGCACCAATTCCCAAATACCATTCTTTTCTAGTGCTTCCATCTTTATAGTCATAGCAAGTCTCCATTCTTCTTTAGATAAAGCTTCGGACAAAGAGTTAGGAATAGAAATTGAATTTAATGTGGACGAGATAGCTATGGTGATTTTGAGAAAAATTAGTGAAAGACACAAAATTGGCCAGTGGGTATAAATGTGTTTTTGTGCGATTACGAATTCCTTTCCTTAAGGCTATAGGTTTGTCAAGATTAGTCTCGGGTTGTGTAGAATCGGATGAAGGAAAAAAATGTTAGAAATTGTTACCTCAAGTTCGGAACTCGGTACAAGTGATTGATCTTGCTCGCAGAAGCAGGAATGGCATCCTTTTTCCTTGTATACACCTTATCAAACTGAACCGATCAATCAATCTACCATTGTCCTCTATTTCTTTTACGGGCAAGAGAATGGTGGATTGATAAACATGATCATCAAGAGGTCGTTCATGAGGAGCTACTTCTCTTGATGAAGAAATATCAAGAGACAAATCAACATCGGAATCAACAATTGTAGGAAGCTCCTCCGGAATGTAAGGTGTAGAAAAATATGGTTTATTTTCAACAAAAGTGACATCGGCTAAGACATAGAGCTTCGAGTAGGTGGATGATAACACTTGTATCCTTTTTGAGTGACTAAATACCCCAAAAAATGCATTTAAGGGATCTAGGATCTAACTTTCCTCTAGTGGTTTATGGACATGAATAAAGGATGTACACCTAAAAATATGAGGGGTAAGGTCGAAGGAAGACCGAACATCGGGGAAGAACCGAGATAAAATTTCCAAGTGGACTTTTGAAATCTAAGACTTTAGAGGGCATCCTATTTATGACATAGGCCGATGTTAAAACTGCGTCCCCCAAAACGTTTTAGGAACATTCTATTGGAACAAAAACGCCCTAGTACATTCAAGAAGATGACGGTTTTTACATTCATTGACTCCATTTTGTTATGGAGTGATGACATAAGATGACTCGTGAATAATACCCTCTTTTTGAAAATTGGAAGACAAAGTCCGATTAAAGTAGTCACGAGCATTATCCGACCGGATACGTTTGACTAGTACCCTAAATTGATTTTTTATCATAGAGATAAAGGTGGGAACAATATGAGTGACATCGGACTTTTGTTTAAGAAGATAAACCCGGGAAGTTCTAGTGCATTCATTAATAAAAGTAACAAACCATTTTGATCCAAGTAATGTTTTGGATGGACGAAGGCCCCAAATGTCACTATGAATTAAAGAAAAAGGAAAACTTGATTTTTTATTGCTTATTGGAAATGATACACGTGTGTGTTTGGCAAACTCACAAATGTCACACTCGAAAAACTTTAACATTGACTCCCTTAAACAAGTCTCGGGAACATTATTTTTAAGGTAAAAAACGACAAATGACCTAGACACCTATGATGCAACCAAATGGTATCTTTATTTGATCGTGAAAAACATGAGACTGGAGAAGATAAATTAATTGGGCTTTGCTGACTTGGTGTACTAAAGTAGTAAAAGCCATTGTGCTCTTTAGCAAGTCCAATCTTCTTCCCCGACTTCGATCCCGAAATTCACAACAACCAACAAAAAAGGTAATATGACAATTCAAGTGTTGGATAAGTTTATGAACGAAATAAGATTGGTGGATAATCGAGGAACATGAAGAATAGTTTTTAGCATGATGTTTTGACCAATTTGGATATCTCCAATATCGGCTATTGTGGTTGTTGTACCATCGGCTACATTTATTTTTTGACTACTCGGGACAAGGTGTATAGGTTTTGAAAAAATTGGATGTGTGGGTCATATGGTCCATAGCACTCGACTCTAAAATCCATGCATTTTGAAACTTATTATCCAAAACATTTAATCCAAAGGAGAAGGGAGTTTTACCCGAGAGCGTTAATGAACACAAACCTTGAGATTGGTTAGGAGGTGTAACAGGTTTTTCCACGGATCCTAGCAAGCTCTTGAGTTTTTCCGGATCTTCCATACCGAGTCCTTCTAATCCCTTTGGTGTGTTTTGTGTTATCACATAGGCTTGCCTCTCGTGATCTGTCTTTCGTTGCCCACCTCTTTGACCCTATTCTCGACTCGTGAGTTGACGACTTGCCATATAATTTCCAGCACTCCTCGTTGGTATGCTAGGGTTTTTGGATAGAATTTACTTCCTCTAAGATGGAAGTTTCGGTTGTAGACATAGTCAAGGGATAAAAGGTTTAAAAAACTATGAAAAATTACAGCAATTAAGGTCGTCAAAAAAGCTGAAGAAACTAACAAGCAATGAAGGTCGTACAATGGCAGATTTCAAGCAAAGAAACCCTAAGGCTCGATATCATAAAGAAAATAATATTTGGGAAAATAATTTTAGTATATTAATTATACAACTACGGATATATATATACATAGAGAGTCCTAAGATAGGAAAGAATTCCTAAAGAATAGGATCCCTACAGAGTAGGAAAGAATATACAAAATATTTCCTATCCAATTATATCCCGATATTTCCTACAAGGAGAAAGAGGGAGAGAGAAAGGGAGATAAAGAGAGGGGATAGATAAAGGGAGAGAGAGAAGAAGAGATGGAGATAGAGGAAGAGAGAGGAAAGTGGAGAGCGAGAGAGAAAGGGAGAGAGAGGGAGAGAAAGAGAGAGATGAAGGAAGAGGCAAGGATATAGAAGGTGAGATAGTGAAAAGGAGAGAGAGGTAAAGGGGGAAGGAAAGAGGGAAAGAGAGGGATAAAGAAGGAGAGAGAAGAGAGAGGGGAAAGAGAGAGGGAGGGAGAGATGAGGGAGGGGAAGAGAGAGGGATAAAGAGAGGGAGAGGAAGAGAGAGGGGGACGGAGGGATAGTGAGAGGGAGATTGAGAGAGAGTGGGAGAAGGTGGGGGAAGGAGAGAGTGGAAGAGAAAGGGTGAGAGAGGGTACGAGGAAGAGAGAGGGAGAGAGATTAAGAGAGAGTGTGAGAGAAAAGGTGAGAGAGGGGGAGAGGGGGAGAAAGGGAGTGAGAGGAGATAAGGAAAGAGAGGGAGGGAGAGAGAAGTGGAAAGGGAGAGAAAAAAGTGAGAAAAGGAGATAGATAGGGAGAGGGAAAAAGAAAAAGAGAATGAGAAGAGAGAGAGAGAGGTAGAGAAAAAGGAGAGAGAAAGGAGAAGAGAGTGTATGTGAGAGAGGTAGAGTGGGATAGAGGTCAAAGAAGATAGAGAAGGAGAAAAGTTATGAGGTAAAGAGAGGTAAGGAAAGAGAGAGAAAGGGAAAGGGAGAGAGAGTGAGAGAAAGAGAGAGAGAGTGAGGGAAGGGAGAGAGGTAAGAAGAAGGAGAGAGGGGGAAAGGAACAAAGAAGGAGAGAGGGAGAGGGAGAGAAGGAGAGAGAGGTGGAAGGCAAGGTAGAGGGATGGAGAGAGAGAAGGTATGACACCCCCTCCCCGACCCACTTGCTAAATACCCAAAAGGAGTGGCTAGGCAAAGAGCGTTTCACGCCGACACGATCAATTTCCAAATTAACCTCAAACACATATATGCTCATACATTAAGGACTTATTATCCAATGAAACACGTACAAGATAATTTACATAATATTATCAATATAGTGAAAGAAATTATAAAATTTATTTACAATACTATTAAACTATTTATCGACACCCCAACCCCAAAATTACATTCAAAAGAAATTTTAGTACACTTGTGTCATACGTCGACCTTTATGGAGGACCCGATAGCATCCCTACTACTTTGACTCATTCCCGTCATAACATTAAAAAAAAATGGGGTGAGCCGAAGCTTAGTAAGTAGGGTGATGCACATGATATGTAATGAAGTTATGTTTCCCATTCTACCCATCCATTTTAATTCGAGTACCCTAGGTATTAGCAAGACCATGCATTCCATCTCTCGGTGATTGTATTATCACCTATCGCTCTATTACTCTCTCTTAGTGATCTCATTATCACCTATTGCTTATAATAGAATTAACCCTCATTGTAGCACATGGTTACCGAAATTATCCCTCGCTTAACGGTGCCGGTAATAGAGCATGCACATGGTTTCATATTGTTACCTATTCCATTCAATTTGGTTACCAAACCGTATTATCTCACAACTCAATGATTTTTCTCAATTTCATACCACCCCCGAATGCACGTGATGCACATGGTATTATGTTTAACACATTCAACTAATTATGCTATCGGTATTTTCTTCTCAATCCATTTTCGTGTCCCATCACACACTCGGGACTTTATAAGTGTTTCATATACCATTCAAAGTATTCATAATGAGAACACAAATCCCATTCATTGGTGTCATTCATTGCATAAATCTACTTCGTACTTATGAGTTTTCCTTCTTGTGTACCTAGCAAGTCTAGGCTCGGATTTTTGGTGTATTACTTAGTTCACAAGATCAATTAATCCTCGGGATTCATGTGTGACATACTTAAGCTAATATCTTGTTTAATCCGAACCTTTAATCTTAGTAGTCGAGGTTGACTCGGAATGGGTATAGGTCTTAATCTCAATTTTTTGTGAATGCTCTTTTTCCATTACTCCATTTATATGTCTTCTAATAATTGACCTATATTTAAGTTCACTATTAATTCTTGATCTCTAATTACACAAAAGGATTCATTGTTAATGATTTTCTTTTCTATGCCGATTTGTCCCAAAATGAGCAAGAAATGGTTTTTACCTTTCTAGGTCAATTCTTTTATACTAACTTGCTAATAACTTACTAAACCATACTTTAGAAGGGTTACCAAGGAGATCTAAACCTTAAGGTCCACAAAAGAAACCAAATTTATCCATCAAATATCCAATTTAGCTAGTGAAGTCCAAAACCTTATTTTTCTTTTTGTTAGGTCGATGGGTTGTTAAGATGGCCATGGATTGCCTTCTATGTCTAGTGAATTTATTTCCACCCTAAAATATTAACCCATTCTTAATTAAGTTACCATGATATTCTAGGCCCTTAATTTCCCCAAAATTTCCATTCTTTCCAAATTTTCCTCACTTGGCCGAATGGTTTTAACTTAGGGCAACTCTAGAAGTGTATTCCTTTCCTTTTCAAGTCATGCTCACCAAATCTAGTTTGGCTCTAACCAATTCGGTCCATACCCTTTTCTTTTGTTTTTCTTTCCAAAAATTTGACACATTTAAACACATCAAACAAAATTTGCATCATAACACAAACACATAGATCCATCACAATTTGCCAAACCCTAACACCAAGACAAACAACTATAGCAAACCATTGAAAATTATTACAAACCCATGAAATAAACACTTAAAAAAATAACTTAAGACATAAAATAACTATAAATGGAACCTAATTACTTTGCTTGAATTTCATAATGGTTTTTTAGGCTTTCCCGTTCTTTCTTTTCTTTCTTCTTTCTTTTTCTTTTCCTTTCCTCTTCCTCTCTTTCCTTACCATTTTTCTCTCCCTTTTGTGTAGCTACGATATCCCTAAAATTTTCTTCCATTCTCACTTAGCCTATATATATATATATATATATACATTTTTAAAATCTTAATATAATTAAGTGTAAAAATGTCTTAATTTAATTTGGGAGAGTGAAAAGCTATTGATGAGT